ATTCCTGCTCTGAAAGCTCTTCTTGAAAAATGCAAGGATGTAGATGAGAGAAATGAGGTAAGACCAAGTTTCTAAAATTAAATTCTTACAAATATTTGTTGACTACTCACTATGTACGAGGCACTGTGCTAAGGATAAAGGTAAGTAAGAAATTTGTAGTTCTCACCCTCAGTAATGATATAATTTCTTATAGTCAAAAGTGCTTTGAATTCTGTATTGTTGGAATACATTTGAACTTATATAAATGATTGAATATTGAACTTATGCTTTATGACTGAGACTTATGTTTGGCTTTTTTCCAGATAGAACAGTCACCCTTCAAGAAGTTTAATTACTGAAATCAAAAGTGTTTCTAGGAAACTTTAGAAGAGCTTCTAGACCCAATCTTCCTATAAGTAGATTAACCAAAAAAAAAAAAAAAAAAAGATTAACCAGACAAAATTAGGACTTTCTGAAATATTTTCTCTCCTGGAGCCTCAACCCTCTTCCCGAGTTGTTCATTCCACACGCCTTGGGATTTTAAAGACTTACATCTTTAAGAGATAGTTAAATAGGTCGTGTGTTCTGTTTAATAAGACAGGGAAGTATATATTCATCATTTTCATTAACTCGTATTAGATATTTCTATTCAACAATACAAGCAAATAAAATGTTGATTATTTTATTGTGAACAGCCAAGCTGCAACATTTTAGGGACTAATAAACTTATTGTATGAATTTTTTAAGTGGCAAATATGTATGTTTTATAAAACTTAAGAAAATTAATCCTTTTTCTTAGGACTGTATTTCAGTACAGTGTAATTTTTTTTTTCTGACCAGTGAATAAGATGAACATGGACTGATTTTAGTTTTACACAAATGTATATGTATGTATATGTGTATATGTGTGCACATATATGTATCTGTGTGTGTAGACATGCAGAGTTTTATGATTTTTTTTTACAGTGGGAAAAAAACATAAAATTTACCATCTTAACCATTTTTAAGTGTACAGTTCAGTGGTGTTCAGTAGTGTTAAGTAATTCACATGTGAAATACTTCCAGAACTTTTTCAGATCTGAAACTCCGTATCTATTATACAACTCCCTATTCCCCCTACCCCGACCCCAGGCCCTGGTAACCACCATTATACTTTCTGTCTTTATGAATTTGACTACTCTAGGTACTTCATAGAAGTGGAACTGTACAGTGTTTGTCTTTTTGTGACTGGCTTATTTCGTTTAGTGTAATATCCTCGAGGTTCATCCATGTCGTAGCATGTGACGAGATTTCCTTCCTTATTAAAGCTGAATAATATTCCATTATATGTATGTACCACGGTGTGTTTATCCACTTATCCATTGGTAGACAGTTGGGTTATTTCCTCCTCTTTGCTGTTGTGGATCCTGCTGCTATGAACATGGCTATGCAAATATTATAAATGTTTTGAAAGCTGCTGAATCAACAGTTATTACCTTATTATTATTATTGACATGGGGTACCTAATTTTATTAAATGTTAGCTCTCGTTAAAGAAATCGTGATATAAAATTTTTGTTATTGCAATACAGTGATGATAGCTAATGTTTTAATTGACTATTTATGCAGATATGTAATGGTTCTGTATATTTAGCTCATTTAATTTGCATAGAAACTCCATAAAAAATCATACTCTTACTTATCTTGACTTAAAGATAAATGACTTAATCCTTCAGTTTCCTATCCAAGATATTACCTGGTGAAATCCAAATTGAGCCCATTCTGTTTGACTTCAAGCAAGCTATGATCTGTTTATGCTCTTTTGTCTTTGAGTCTTAAGCATAAGTTCATCTAATGATAATGTCTATATCTTCAATGTTTCTGTATTGAACAAACTATATTTTGGTTAGTTGACATCATTATTCCCTTCTATGATTTTGAATAGTCAATAATTGTTATGCATAAATGAGATAAAATTAATAATTGGAGATTGTTCATTGTTATAAAAGAACTGCTTATGGAAGTAATTTTATTAGCATATATTAGCATATTTGGAATAATAAAATGATAGTTTAAAAAGATTAAGTTTTACTTCATAGACAGTTTCTTTGGGAATATTGAGAAAATAGCTTCACTTGGAAGGAGAAAAATAGCACATAATAAGCATAAACTTAATCTTACAAAGAATGAAGTGTATTTGGTATAGAGCTTGTCATCATGCATGCAGTAGCATTTAATGGTTATTAGTGATATTTACATCTAGTTTAGTATTCTATAAATTAAAATTGGATTTTTAAAATAATACTTTGAAGCAACCTGGGATTTTTACATTATGGCTTAATGTGAAGGTTGTGGAGAAAGTAGCTTTCTCAAGGCCTTTTTTAGCATTTTCCTTCTACAGCTTATGATTAAATTTAATTTTTGTAGAATTCTAAAAAGTTGCTTAGACCTTCTTCCCTCTTTCTTGCCTTTAAAAAGTGAAGTACTTAGTTACCTCATGTTAATATGTTTGGTTATCAGTTTTCAAAAAGTTTCTTAAATGTTACATCAATAAAATAAAATAATGTGGGGAAAATTGCCTGATGCTGTGCTTAGCATATGATGGGCTGCAATTAATAAATGCTAATTTCCTTCCTTTTTTTCTTTCTACTTTATTTGTAAACTAGATAAATCTCTTGGCCTCTGAATGTTCTCAGTGATGGCAAGTCTTTGCCCTTTGTAGATCAGTGAAGGGCTTTAATTTAATTTAACTTTATTTTTGAAAAGAGCACTCTCAGCTCTCCTTGATACAAGGATATAGTGTTGAGGTTGGACATTATTCCCTGTCTGAGAAAATGAAACAGGGCTCTAAATTCAGGAGGTGAATTTTGTTACGTGTTTACAAATGTAGACCCTGAAGGAAGCTTCAAAGGAGAATTAAAAAATGTTCTAGTTTCACTACAATTATTGGAAGACGTATTGATCCTCCAAAGGGGACGGCTTTAAAGGGCAATGGTTATCTAGGCCCAGTACACCTGAATACATAGAAGTGGGACTACCTAGGAATTGGGAAGAGCAAAAAGATGCTGAATAGGAGATGTTTTTGCTTTGTAGCTTCTGGGAAGCTGAGATAAAATATGATAGCTGTTGTGCGGAACCTTAGTTGGCGTGCGGTGTTCTGGTTTGAGGTCATTATCAATAGAGTATTATATGAGTTATGTGATCCTGTACTTTTTGGAAAGAAATGGGTTTGGGATTTGCTGGGATGTGTATGTGGGGTTAGGTAGGGGAGGGCCCTTTAGTGATTCATATTGAAGTGAAAGAGTAAAGTCGTCATGACTGTTTCTAAGTCACTCTGTCTCCACAACTGTAGTTACTAGATTGGCTAAGCAAGAACTAGTAGAATAAATATGTTTTGTGATAAGGCACAACTTAAAAGGTAAATATCCTTCTACCTTAAGGGATTTAATAAAACTTAATGGCAGCCTTTCCTGAAAATCACTTCTCTATTTGGATAGTGTAGCTACAAAAGGTTAAAGATTGCTCTGGACTGCATGTAACAGCTCCCAAAATAGTGGCTTAATCAAATTAAGATCTTATTTTTCTCATGTAATGACAAGCTGGAGGAGCCATTCCAAGGCTGATATGATGGCGTCAGGATATCTTCCCAGGCTCCTTCCTGCCCTTCTGGCCACTCCTCTCTGTGTGCTTGTTACTTCACATCAGCTGTCTTGATACAACTGCAGCATTGTGTCCACATATCAGACAAGAAGGAAAAGGGAACGGGCCAGCCGAGTTAGTCTAATTACTGAGCCTTCCTGGGAGACCTAGCCAGAGTGGTGCCATGGGTTATTTCCAACTGCAAGTAAGGCTGAACAATGTAGGTGTTTTTAGCTGAGCATGCTGCCACCCCCAACAAAATCCTGTCCCTCTAGATACTGGGTAGACAACTAATAGTTTCTGCAGGAGAAAGTTATGACTATTCAAGTCTTTCATTTAGCTTGTTTCTAGTTAATCACGTTTACACCATCTGTCTTATTTGTGTTACGGATTTTAATACACATCTAACTTATTTTTTCCCTCATACTCTAAGAGCACCTGTCTTTGTGAACTATCTCAAATGTGACTGTGACCCCAGAAAGTAAACAGAAAGCTCCTGAGTCTTGGGAATTACAATTTTGAAAACTGATGTACAAGTCATATATCCTTAGGGCCATAGAGTCAAGTAGTTGGCTTTAATTTATATATTATACCATTGATTTTGATATTTCACTTTTTATCCCAGTTAATCTAATCAGAAGGGAGAAACATGCTGTAGAAAGTAACTCAAAGACATTAGAGCTCACAGAGGCAAGCCTGGTGTAATAATTGATGTCTGTAGGTATGACTCAGAATCATAAACATAGTGTTTAAGTTAATCTGTTTAACAAGTAGCAATGTGTATATTACTTTCTAGAAAACAGGTAATCATAAAGTTATAATCAAATTTAATATTTAAAGGATAAACTTTTTCACCTGGAAAATCTATTTACGCATAATATCTCATTCCCTAATGACCCTGGTTGAATGACAGGTGACTACCACATATAATTTAGTATCCATCATTATATGAGTGTCTGTATTTAATTTGATTTGCTTTTGTACTTTAACTCAGTATTTGTGTTTCCCTTTACTTGTATTCCTATAGTAGCATCTGTTGCATATTGCCTGTTACTATAATTATTTCCATGTTTGTGTGTTGCCGTTAGTGGATTTTTAAATTCTTTCAGACTTCGCTCACTCATTTACTCAATAAATATTTGAGTACCTGTGTGGCAGTCACTTTCCCTCACGCTGGGGGTATACAGTACTAAACAAACAAAACAGACATGCTTCCCACCCTCTGGGAGTTTAGGGCCTTTAGAGGAAACACAATAATCAGTTGTTAATCACACAAATAAATGTGTAATTAGAAACAAGGATTAGTTTAGTAAATGAAATTAGAGGGGGTTAGCAAGGCTTCCCTAAGGGGTTGATGTTTGACCCAAGAGCTGCCGGGTGGGTGGTGGTTAACTGGGTGGGGTAGAGGGAAGACTTTGTCTGAGGGTCCCGAGGTGGGAAAGAGCTTGAGGGCACATTGGTGAGGAGGGAATGGCCTGGCACAGGTTTCAAGGTAGTCCTGCTGTCGTCTCTCCATCGTTAGACCACAGACCACGTAAGGATTTTGGTTCTCATCCAAAAGAGCAGTAGGAAACCACTGAGGGTTTTAAGCAGTGGAATATTGTCAGATTAGCATTTAAAAAAAAATCACTGATGTTTCCCCCCCACTGATACACATTCAGTAAGTAGGTGCTTAGATAAATATTTCTCTAACTGAACTTAGTTTTTGGTGTAATTATCATATACCTTAGTATGTTTCAGCACCTTTAACCCAGTGCTTCTAACCTGTTTGATATCACGGCATGTACGGAAAATGATAATGTGTGTGCTGCACTTGCAATAGCCGAGGCTTGCTGCTGGAGGGAACCTGTCCCAGGATCCCGCTGCCCAGGCCCTGCCCTGCTGTCTCAGGGCTGGGGAGCATTGTATCTTATGATGTGACTCATTCTAGGCACAGGCTGGGCAGCTCTGATGTAGCTAGTAGGGGCTTTACTTTAATGAATTAAGGTTATAGGGGAAGGCTTAAAAAACCTGCATAATATATATACAGCACCTGTATTGTTTTTATTTATTGCTTTACTTTCCTCCCTCTAGTCCTGATAAAACATCTTATACATACAATAAAACCACATTCTATATCATATTCTAACTGTATTGGTAGAGAATTTGGTTACCACAGATATCCTAAGATTTTTATATACATCGTGGTAATTACTTTTCAGTGCCTAGTATTATTCATGCTTACTTATTTTGAATAAAATTGCAGTGCCAGAAACAGATTGCTAATGCTGTCATAAAAAAGTCTCATTTTCTCTTTCACTTTTACATTATTAGTAATCTGAAAACTTAAGAATTCAGAGGTGTTTCTAAATTAATGAAATACTGTAAATAGCGCTTAACATAACATCAGGAAAAAGTAAGTGTGCTATAATTAACTGGTATTTCAGCTAAAGTACAACATCTTGACAACTTCTCTGTGTCTTTTATATCTCCAGTGTGGCCAGACTCCATTGATGATAGCTGCTGAACAAGGCAATCTGGAAATAGTGAAAGAATTAATTAAGAATGGAGCTAATTGCAATCTGGAAGATTTGGTATATATTGAAATAATTTACTCATTTGTCTTTTTCTTTTCCTTAACTTTGCTTTTAAGAAATGATTCAAAAGTAATAGATTATAGATTGTACTTCTTCTGTATCTCAACTTTGCCTAGTAATAGTCTAACTCAATTTTTTTAAAGGGGTAATAACAGGAGAGAAATTTTTACTTTCAGTGAAAGTTCTCAGCTCTTAGGTTTTTTTATGTACAGATGGCACTGGTTGAATAGGGAGCACGTATACTTAAAATTAAATGCCTGCCTAGAAGATATGTATGAGTCATATTGTTAAGTAACTCCCCATAATGGTATCTTATTATTATAAATATCACATATGATAAGCCAGAAAGATGTGGTCCCTTCTGATACCGTTTATGAGGGATAAATCACTCTTCCAAGAGGCTTACTTTCTCTGTTTCCCAGGAATTATTTTTCAGGGTCACACAGCTACATCTGTTTTTCTGTTTGTTTTTATTATTCGAATTGATGATATTAAATTGGTGATTTTAATTGAGTGATCATTTGAATTAAATTATAGTACACTCATGGATAAAAGTTAGGATAGGATACTTGCAGGCTTTATTTACAAAAATAAAGAATAGTTCTTTATCATACAGTTTCTAAACTCATCATATGGGATCTCTTTAATAGTTTGTAAATGTGCTCTTAAATCTGATTGCAGGCTCTTTACTTTCAATTTATAGTAGTGGTTGCTAACCACAAGGGTTAGCTTTGAGGTTTTGATAGCCATCTTTTCTCCTTTTTAAAAAAAACAGTATGTGATTAGAAGTCCAGTGAAAGGACTGAACAAGCAGTTGTGAAGCCGTTTTTACACCATTGTAGTCATACAGGTAGACAGATAAATTCTTAACAGAGCTTATGCTTCAGTGTAATTTCAGAGTAGTTTAGAGTGGGTCGGATCATGTCAATTTGGTATGATCATCTGGTATGTAAATTCACATTTATTTTTCCTCACTTTGGAATGTTGTTTTTGGTTTTGAAATGATAACATTTGTGTCTGTGTGTTCAAGGATAACTGGACAGCACTTATATCAGCGTCAAAAGAAGGGCACCTGCACATTGTGGAAGAACTGCTTAAATGTGGGGCTAACCTGGAGCACCGTGATATGGTATGGACGTTCTTTATCCATTGTTAATCAGCTGGAATCTTATTAGCAGTAATGGATATGTGTTAAGTCCTGTATTTTTGTGCGTGAGGTGATACTATAATAATGTTTTTAGGATTTGGGATTGGGCATTGAAATGACCCTCAAGAATGTTTTAAAACCCGGTGATATAATGCACCTCCTTTAGAATATTCTTAGTCATTATTTTCTGTTTATTTCAGAATTTTAATTCTGAAATGTTGTTAAAACAACTTATTACCCTTTATAATGTATCAGTTTTAGAACTCATGAGAGAGTTGTTCCCTTTAAGGAGAACTTTAAGAGGGACATAGTTTAGTTTTAAAAATATTTTCAGTTGTTTAAAGTCATGATTTTCAGAATAATATTTATAAACTTATTTTCAAAATGTAATTGTGTTCCTAATGCCATCTGTACACATTACAAGTTTAGCAAGATATGATTCTTAATTATCTTAGCTCTTATTTGATCTTGGCATCTGCTTAAAGCATAAAGGTGAAGAAAGGGATAATTTCTGGCTTATTTATTCTGCAAAGTGTACAGCCTTTTCAAAGATTAATTTTAACTGGAAAAAAAGAAGGAATTGAGCTGCCTTGATATAGACAACATGTATTACTTTGCTGCTGATGCTTTATGAAGTACAGCTGGTCTGAATTTTTAAGAAACTGCAGCACTGCACCATCTTGCACTTAATATTGTACGATGTGATTTACACAGCGTTCTTCTACAGTGTTATATTTATTCTTAAAACTTAGTGAAGTGGGGCTTCCCTGGTGGCGCAGTGCTTGAGAGTCCGCCTGCCGATGCAGGGGACACGGGTTCGTGCCCCGGTCCGGGAAGATCCCACATGCCGCGGAGCTGCTGGGCCCGTGAGCCATGGCTGCTGAGCCTGTGCGTCCGGAGCCTGTGCTCCGCAGCGGGAGAGGCCACGACAGTGAGAGGGCCGCGTACTGCAAAAAGAACAAAAAAACAAAACTTAGTGAAGTGGTTGGTATACTTATTTTTATAGAAGGATACAGAACCATTTGTATCCTCCCTGTTTCTGAAAAGAAATTGAAGCACATTGCTATAAAAATTTAGGGAGAGAAGGTAATGATGTCAGTAACCCATAGGCAAAGGATGGGTATGGCAGGTAGAAGTAAAATGCAGTGTTCTTATCTCAACTGGCATATAATAGAGCAGAAGAGAAATTCATGGAGCTACCTAGTTCTCAATATTTTATTAAAAGCAGCATACCATTTTATCAGATGAATTAATGTTAGGTAGCTTTTGTATGCCTGATCCCTTTAGGTGCTTTTTAGCCTCTCTATCATTAATTGACTTCTCAGAAGAATCCTATGGGCTAAGGGTTAATTTTGTTCTCAGCGTATATAGTTCAGGAAAGTGAGACTGGAAGAAATACCCTTTGCCCAAAGTCACTTAGCTCTTAAGCAGTCAGACTGAGTTTTGAACCCAGGACTGCTTACTCCAAAGGCTTTCTCCTTTATCATTCTTCCATATATATCAGCAAGGGAGTTAGGAACTATAAAGTATACGTTGTGAATGTGTAAAAACTTGTCAAGATTTGTAAAAAATGGTTTCTTAAACTTTCTTAGTTCTCCATATTTCTCATTTCCCTGAAGTACTTATCAAATCACAGCACATTTTAACATTTAAAGGGCCTCTGTGTTTGGCTTTTAAACACCCCAAATTAGGGAAACTGAGGACTGTGTCTCCCTTAGTAGTTAGTATTGAGAGACCGTACCTCAGAGAATTGGGTGGGTGGTGGCAGCTGCTGAGCTGTGAGGGAGGGCAGAGTCCCTGGGACTTGTGTGAGGAGAGAAGAGTGTGCCAGGGGTTGTCTGGGATTCAGGAATAATTCCAGAATATAATGTCAGGAAGTCTAGTGAGGATTCTTCCTGGAGAAGACCTTTAATGGACACCAAACTACAGCATTGCTATAGGCAGTCAGTTCCAGTCTTTTCATTTTGCAAATTTGGGCATAGGTTTCTCAAGATTACATTTTTATCTCAGAGATTCTTGCATAGGGTGATACTATACAAATTAAAATGAGGGAATGATATTAACACAATTCTGGGCAGGAATTTTGCAGATTACAATATTGGTGTGTGTAAGACTTGACTAAATGCCCAGCTCTATAATTTGACCTAAATAAATTATGTTAGCCTTTCTTTGTCTTTCATGACCTTGACACTTTTGAAGACTTCTTGTCTGGCATTCTTAGAATGTCTCTCAATTTGGATTTGTCTGATGTTTCTCATGATTAGATTGAGGTTGTGCTTTATTGGGAAGGAGGTGATAATGCCCTTCTTAGTGTACCACATCTAGGTACGTACATCATCAGAATCTATCACTGGTGATGTATCTTGGCTAAGGTAGTGTCTGTCAGATTTCCCTTTGTAATTACTAAATATTTGAGGGAAGATACTTTGAGACTATACAGATATCTTGTTTTTGATTAAACTTTCATTTATTTTAGCACCCATCAATGCATCTTGCATGCAGCAGTTATGACTGTGGTGTTATAATGGTGATTTTTCTATTTTCATCATTCCATCTACATTTATTAATTAGAATTCTTCTGTAAAGAAGAGTTCTCTCTCTCTGACTCTGTCTTTCTCTGTCTCTCTAAATATATATCTCTATATAGATTATATGTAGATATACATTTTAGCACTTCCTTACTTTCTGGCATTACAAAATGCTTCAGGCTCAGGTGCATCTTATATTTTCCCTGCCTTATTTCCCTGATTATCAGCCCTGGAATCAAATCAGTTTTCCAAGGAACCCTAGTTCCTGTTTTTCGAAAATGATATTTAGAAACCAGTAATCTAGGTGTTAGGTATGCTTATTGTTACTGGGATGTCACTGCTGTAGTCCTTCTCAGTGGATAGATGTAGGAAATACATGTCTGTATATTAACTCTTGTGTACACATACATCTATTCTGTATCTGTGTGTGTGTATGTGTATATATATATATATTTTTTTTTTTTTAAATAGACTAGGTCGGTAACCATGAACCCAATCCACTGTAGCCTTCTCCCTTTTCTTAATTTGTAACTCTCCTCTGACTGTGAGAAATCTGGCTCTCACTATCTACACAATATATTTACTTATTTCTTCACCTCTAGTATACAAGTAGTTTCAGAATTTCTAATCCATACCCTGAGAGAAACAGATTTGCTACTAAATACATTGTTTTTGTACAGTTCTTTTCGTCTTTAGCATTATTACAGAATTCAGTCAAAATATTGCTTTCCAGAGTTACCTAGATCAGCTTCTAAGTAATTATGTGATTCATTTGTAATATAATTAATTCATCCCAGTCTATATTCTGTCTTTCTTCCCCATATTCTAGTTGATTTTTTAAAAATTTACTTACAATAAAATTCGTCTCTCTGGTGTTCAGTTCTGTGGGTTTTGACAAGCGCATGATGTCATATGTCCACCGCCACAGCTCTGTACAGAGCAGTTCCATCATTTCAACAGTACCCTCATGCTGCTTCTTCATAACCAGCCCCTCCAGCCACTACTCAACCCATGGCTACCACTGATCTGCTTTCCCTTTCTATAGTTTTGCCTTTTTCGGATTAGGGCAAGTATTTTTTTTAATCTCTTTTTTAGTGACAATGAAACAGAATCAGAAGGATTAAGTGATTTATATTCTTGAACCCAAATTTGAATTGGTGCAAATACTGATTTTAAAAAAAAAGCAAACAAAACATTCACTTCTTAGTATAATTTGATTGCATTTGTCTCTTTCATTGAACTGCATTATAGTTAAAGAGAACATTGCCAAAACAAGAACACTACTCCTGTAGCTTAAAAAATAGAAAGTTATCATGCTGTTAACTCTTACTTAATGACTTTGCCCACCCCTGGAAATCATGGTCTACAGATCATTGCCTTCTCATCCTCTCTTTTTTAGCAAGAGGTGTGATAATGATCTGGAATTTATAGGATGGGTTTAGATGCAGGAGTTGAATAGGGTTGCTGGAATCCCTCTCTGGAAAAAGTCTAGACTCATACCAGGAGGAGAATATCTGGAGACCTAGAATGTTTACTGAAGGAAAATATTTATAAAACCAAAATAAATCTTGGAAATTTGGAAAGAGTCCAACATGAATGTTCCCTATGTCAATTTCCAAAATATAATACAGACTTCGGAGTAATCATTACTGGACTTAAGAGATTTGACTTTTTTCAGATACTATTGTGTATTTCTCTGGGGAGCTTAGGTATTTAAAACTACATAGTAGTGATTTCTTAAAACAATGGTTCTATAAAGAATAAAGCTCAAAAAAGGAACTTCATTAATGCCATTTTTGTGCTTAGAGACAATCCGGTGTTTTGTTTCCCTCCCCCGCCCCACCTTTTTGTTTTCTTTAGGGAGGATGGACAGCTCTTATGTGGGCATGTTATAAAGGCCGTACTGAAGTGGTTGAGTTGCTTCTTTCTCATGGTGCCAATCCAAGTGTTACTGGTCTGGTAAGCGTTAACAAAAAAATCCATCTGTAATGTAAGTGGTAAGTTCTTTTAGGGAATACTTAAGGCTGGTTATGCTTTGGACTTTGTAGTGGATAAAAATGATCTAGAGCTTACTAAAGATAATAATGCAGAATGTGATTTCAAAACACAATGAGAATTTTTTTCTGAGGCTAAGCTTATTTCTCAGTTTTTATCAACAAAAAGGCAACTCTTAGAGTTTATACAATATTTCAAAAGGAGATTTTGAAATCCTTAAGTCATCTTACCTGTTTTCTGTGCGTATGTATTCTTAATCTAAACTCTTTTAAAGAAAAGAGACATTTACCAAATATCCATGCCACTTTTCTATGTTCTTTTTATTTTCTTTCTGGCCCTCTCCACTGCTAAAACCTTACTCCAAGTCACCTGTATTAGTTTTCTGTGGTTGCTGTAACATCACCACAAACTTGGTGGCTAAAAACAGCAGACTATACATTCTTATAGGTGGTAATACATGCATTACTATTGTACTTTGCTTGAGACTTGATCTCAGACTGCAGATTAAGAAATTGTTTTATTGATGGGGGGATTCCTTTCACAATGTATATGTATGTCAAATCATTACATGCACTTTAAATGTCTTACAATTTTATTTGTCAGTTATACCTCAGTACAGCTGGAAAGGAGGAAACGGTTTTATTCAAGTTAATGGATGGATTATAAAGAAAGGTTTTATGTTCTTATTAGTCTTACCTGTTGGTTAGATAATTACATTGTGTGTTGAATCTATAAAAATAGATGTGTTCATAATATATATTTATTTAAGGTTGAGTGCATCTCAGTTCCCAGTTATGTATTATGAGTATTACATGTGTTTTTAAAGTGGAGAATGGTCTGTAACTTGATTTTGTAAAATACTACTTTATATTGCTCCCTTTGTTGTTTCCTCTTCTTAGCAAATGTGTGCTGTAAATATCCACCTAAAAGACTTTTTCTTTCCCTCCCTCCCTCCCTCCCTCCCTCCCTGTGTACCTACTCACCCACCTGCCTACCTCCCAGCAGTACAGTGTTTACCCAATCATCTGGGCAGCAGGGAGAGGCCATGCAGATATAGTGCAACTTTTACTGCAAAATGGTGCTAAAGTCAACTGCTCCGATAAGGTAGGTCAGCAGGATCTTTCTAGGTTCTAGTTCATATTATGTCCACTCAGTGTGTCTAACTTACAAGGATTTTCATATGATCTCATGTGGCGGCTCTGATGTATCTTATGTTTATATTTATTAATACATTTTATAAAGACACACATCTCATAGGTGTGGGTTCCTTGTAGGTATTAAATACGTGCTAAGTGTCCTTCCATTGTCTTTTATATCACATTCCTCATTCTCAGGAAAATAGATAGGGTTGATTCCCTATCTTCATTATTTACTGTTGTAGCTCTTCTTTCTACTGTGGGTGCTGTCTGCCTTCTCTGTTTTTTTTTTTGTTTTTCTTGCGGTATGCGGGCCTCTCACTGCTGTGGCCTCTCCCGTTGCGGAGCACAGGCTCCAGACGCGCAGGCTCAGCGGCCACAGCTCACGGGCCCAGCCGCTCCGCGGCATGTGGGATCTTCCCGGACCGGGGCACGAACCCGTGTCCCCTGCATCGGCAGGCGGACTCTCAACCACTGCGCCACCAGGGAAGCCCCCAGATGATCTTTTAAAATTTAAGTCTTGTTCTTTCTCTCTCATATTTAAAATCCTAAAGACATCAATCCCTGTTATGACGTATAAAGATAATCCTTGCCTCCATCTCTACCCTTTCTCCTGCTCTCTCTACCCCAAACTACCTTTGCTCAACTATCAAATGATGCAGGTTCCTGAGTCCATCTGTTTTTAACCCTCCACATCTCGTAGGTGCTCTTTCACAGTGTGGAGTGCCCTCTCATCCTCGTCTGCTTTAGCTTCTGTTCATCCTTCACACTCAGCTCATGTGCCATCAGCTCCAGAAAGCTCCCCAGGATTTTGTTCTATTCATTTTTTTAAATCCTTAATACCCCACATATTTGATAAATATTTATTTAATTCTTTCATTCTTTCTTGCTTTTGGAGAGCTTTGATAGCTTCTGTGGTCTCAGGGCAAAGCCCAGACTTTTCAGTTGGACCCCAGTCTTTCTTCCCAGGTTCACTTCTTGCCATTCGTCTCCATATACACTAAGCTTTTGGATACAGAAGATTGTCTGTTATTCTGTGAACTATTTTCTTTCTTTCTTTCTTTACTTATTTATTTTTGGCTGCGTTGGGTCTTCGTTGCTGCGTGCGGGCTTTCTCTAGTGGCGGCGGTGGGGGGCTACTCTTCGTTGTGGTGCGTGGGCTTCTTATTGTGGTGGCTTCTCTTGTTGTGGAGCACGGGCTCTAGGTGTACGGGCTTCAGTAGTGTGGTACACAGGCTCAGTAGTTGAGGCGCTACTACTCAGTAGTTGTGGCTTGCGGATTCTAGAGCACAGGCTCACTAGTTGTGGCGCACGGGCTTAGTTGCTCCGCGGCATGTGGGATCTTCCTGAACCAGGGCTCGAACCCGTGTCCCCTGCATTGGCAGGCGGATTCATAACCACTGCACCACCAGGGAAGCCCCATTCTGTGAACTTTTATGAATTTCTATGAAGTGCGTGTCTTTGTTTATCCTATTCCCTCTGCTAGGAATGTTATGAACTCCTCTGCCTGATGAACTCCTATTTATTTTCTCAAGGCTCAGTTGAGGTGTTAGCTTCTCTGTTAAGTCTCCTTAACTTACCCAGTCAACTTAGATGCCCCTTCTTCTGTAGTCAGTATTCACTGTCCATACCTCCATCAGTGCACAAAAATTCTGTTGGTCAAGGCTGTTATAAAATGTAGGTATTCATTAAACGTTCATTTCAACCTGCAGCCTCCCATGTAGTTAAATGTCACTGTGAGTGTTCTCGTGTCTCTTCATTGCCTTATGAATCTCCCCAAAGATAAAGCATTGCTTTTATGTGTGATTTACATTCTCTGATGTCTTTTGAATCACATTCCAGCAGAAGGTGCTTTTGAGTGCAGTTTCTAGGCGGACATTTATTTTGTCAGGTACAGAGGCCGATCTGGGGTGGTGGTTAAGAGCACAGACTGAAGCCAGGCTTGTTGGGTTCATGGGTCTTGCTCCACCTCTTAGTAGCTTTGTGACTTCGAGCCTGTAATTAACTTCTCAGGGCCTTGTTTGCTCATTTGTTAAAATGTGATATTGTGGTTTGTACTTATTCTTCTGATAAGGATTACACACGTTAACTCGTGTAAACTATTTAGAACTGTATTTGGCACTTGGTTGTTACTATTTCAGACTGTTGGACTTTATATTTCACAAGATATGGGAAGCAAAGAAAGCTTGTTGGAAATTAGAGGCTGTATGACGTTATGATGGAAAAATTGTTACTGATTGTACAAGTTAAAGTTAATTAAAATATATTTCATGCAGTGGTTAATCATCTATTCAGGAGAAATAGTATGGGGAAAATATGATTTATCTAGGATTAAAATTGTGATTGGTGTATACCGTAATCTAAAAATACTCAAAGTATCATTTTTATCAAAATTCATCGTGAGGGCTTCCCTGGTGGTGCAGTGGTTGGGAGTCCGCCTGCCGATGCGGGGGACGCGGGTTCGTGCCCCGGTCTGGGGGGGTCCCGCATGCCGCGGAGCGGCTGGACCCGTGGGCCATGGCCGCTGGGGCTGCACGTCCGGAGCCTGTGCTCCGCAGCGGGAGGGGCCACAGCAGCGAGAGGCCCGCGTACCGCAAAAAAAAAAAAACAAAAACAAAACAAAACAAAAATTCATGGTGAGAGCTAGTTTCTTTTAATACAACTTAGGTAATAATTTTAAATTTATTATTTCTTTAATAGTATGGAACCACCCCGTTGGTTTGGGCTGCACGAAAGGGTCATCTGGAATGTGTAAAACATTTATTGGCTATGGGAGCTGATGTTGATCAAGAAGGAGCTGTAAGTATCTTTTCTATTTTAACTGCTGGTAGTAGAGAGATGTTTTTAGTTTTAAGAGAGAGAATACTTTTTCCTTAGTATATACCTAGAAAAATTTCCCTGTAGTTTCTAAACGATACTTAGAAAAACAAACATCTTCTGTTATCCTGATAAATATATTATATTATAGATATTATGTATTACAAATATGTGCTTTTAAGGATTTATTGCTAATGCACATAAATTTTGGGAGGCTAAAACTATATGGAATATCTTTTAGTAATCTTAGTATAAATTAAAATACTCCCCAAATCAAATTGTTTGAATTACTATTGTGGAAAGAGTTTCTATTCTGTTAAAATACCTTTTCTTTAAAATTTTAAAATAATATCATAATTTTTTGATATTTTAATCTGTGACTTGTTTTCTCTAATAGATTTTAAAATATCAAAAATCAGTGGTCAAAACCTATATAGCTTAAAAATTGGTTCAGTATATCTTACAGTCTAGCAGTTATGAATTCCTTATTGAGTACCCGCTGTCCACCCAGCCCTGTGCCAGACGTGCTGGGGATACTGGAGAAGCCTATCATATAGCTCTTCTCTTGAGCTTGTAAGAATATAGGTAAAGGAGATGACATTTATGCACAAGAAACAGTACAGACTTCTGTTAACATAATTATTGTTATTATGTGAGATGGATCATAAAGGATTCTGAGAAGAGTTGCTACCAAATCTCTGGCTGCAGTGTAACAAAAGTGAATTCTAAATCATTAAAAGTGACTTCCTGGCATAATACCAACCAGCTCCTCCTATTGTCCATGTTGACAGAAGCTACTAATTGATGACCTTCAAGGGGTATATAATATTTTAGTGGTGTGCGGAGACAGAGCATGATTCTTACCCAGCCATGGAAGTCATACCTTTCACTTGCCTCCTTTCTGGACAGTTTATCAAGTGGATGAGTGGCTTGTCTCTATGATTATTGACTGCTGAGGAATCTGAAAAAGCTGTGTTATATTAATATTGAGAGAATTATGGCTTAGTTCTGGGGGCTGATATAATAACTGAAATATTTCTATAAGGAAATTGCATGGTATCTCAAACTAGATGAAAATCTCAGCAATAAGTTTTAATATTTCTTTTGTAATGAGTCAGATTCTTCTATTATGTGATTTTGTTATAAATTAAATGTGCAGTTTTTAAAAGAACCACTAAAAAAAGACAGTTTTGAAAATGTGGTTTCTAGATCACTGTAGAAAACAGAGGAATAAGTTATACTTTTATTGAAATATTCTATAGCTTATTAATTCATTGTTTTACTTCAGTTTTTCATACAGATTTTATTATAGACAGTTCTTTGAAGTCTGATTGATTCTTACTTTGGATTATTTAACTTAGAATGTGTTTAATTTTGAATCATCCTGTCAGCTATTTTATATGTCAATACTGTCAGCTATTTTATATGTCAATACTTTAGTGAGAGGGTTTGTTCATTATAAATGACTCCAATTTTGGATTATCATTTAAAGAATTGAATGTCTTAACAGTCCTATTGACTGAAGAGAATTAATGTATCTTCAAAAATGGAAAATATGCTTCTGGCCACTTTTGGTCTGTTTCTGGTTATTTATATTGGCATCTTATTATCAGAAATAACTGTTAATAATAGACCACCTATTTGAAAACATCAGTTTTTTGACTATAGAATAAATTATATGTTTTCTGAAAGTACTAATTTCTTGGGCGTTGTTTGATTTGTAGAATTCAATGACTGCACTTATTGTGGCAGTGAAAGGAGGCTACACACAGTCAGTAAAAGAAATTTTGAAGAGGAATCCAAATGTAAATTTAACCGATAAGGATGGAAATACAGCTTTGATGATTGCATCAAAGGAGGGACATACAGAAATTGTACAGGATCTACTTGATGCTGGAACATATGTGAACATACCTGATAGGGTAGGTTATCTATTTAGAATTTGTCTTTCAGTGGTGACATTGATGGAAGGTTACCTTAACTTCTCACCACCTTTCAAGATTCTTCCTGCATGACATACATTTAAGATGTTTTATTTCTGCCTTTAGAACTAATAACTTAAAACCTGTCCAATCTTTGTGAAAGGTGTTCTTTTAAATTTTTCAGAAATAATGCTGTTATTGAAAATGTGATCTTGAAACCATCCTAACTATAGGTGTTGTTCATGGCTGGTGTTATTCATTGTTCCAAGGCTTCAAGTCTCCCACCCTTAGACCTAGAATTTTCAAATTGGTATCTCTCGCTCTCACCTCTTCTCGGAAGTCTACACTTGTCTGTCCAGCTCCACTTGAACTGTCCACTTGAATGTCTAATGGGCTTCTTAACTTACAGCAAAACAGGTGTTTTGTTTGTTTCATCCCACACCTGCTTTTCCCTCAGTCTTCTCCCTCTCCGTAAGTGGTACCAGCATCTATATATCGTGTTGTTAAAGCACCAAATCCTACACATTAGTCCTGATTTCTCAAGACTACCCAAGCCAAAGTAGCTACCCAGTCACTTTCTATCACATCAGTATATTTTATTTGCATTACATTTATCTGATTTCTTATTTGTATTTATTGTATATTGTCTGCTAGTCTCCTCTAGGCTATAAATTCTCTTAGAGCTGGGACCTTGTCTATCTTATTTCCTAGTGCCTAGAACAGTGCATGGCACATCGTAAGCAATGAAATATTTATAACCTTTTATTAATTTACTAGTCTGAACCCACATTAATGCTAATATTCTCAACTAAAATGTGTCTTCCGTGGGTTTATTTACACTTTTAATGTAGTGGTTAAGGTACTACATCATGGTGCTAGACTTAATAATCCTCGAGGACCTGCATCTGGATATAGAGCCCACTGGGGCCCACTTAGGATTGAGATGAGCTGTAGCTCATGGAATCACCCAACCCAAACTCATACAACTGATTTGTAATTTAGCAGTTAAAAAAAAGGCCATTTACAGTATTTGAACTAGGGGAAGATATAATTAATAATGATTATTGCTTGGTGGATATAATTTCAGGGCAGAGGTGTCCTTATGAGGTAGTGAACTTCATCTAAGCCTTGTACTGGGGAGTGAGTCAGTCTTGTGCACTGTTGGCCTGTAATGGCAAATTGATGGAATATAGATGCTGTTCTGGGAACCAACCTTCTCCCTTAATTAAATGTGGTTATAAACCCACAGATGGCTCTAGCTTTATAACTCCCTTCTTTTTAGAATCCATGGCTTTTGTCATATAGCATTATTCCAAGGGATTTGTATTATGTAATTTCCAAATTGTTCATCTGGTTCATTGACAACCACTGTGTCATTTTATTTAATTTAACATCTGTAATGGGAGGTTACCTTCAAATAGAATGGCTTATTGTTCTGGGTGACTTATCTTTCTAAACTTTTGTCCTGGAATTTCAGGTATAAATATTCTCATTTTGAGGTATAAAGTCTTCTGTCCCTTATTCTGAAGGCTATTAATATCAGGTATTAATATTAGTTAACTTTCTGTTATTTAGAGAGAATTTTTTCCAAGAAATTTTCAGAAAAAATCTGTTAAATTAATACGTGACTAACTTTAACTTCAAAACAGTGTTTTTTGTTCCATCATCAATTCGCCTTATTTTTTTTTTTTTTTGTCTTTTTAGAGTGGAGATACTGTTTTAATTGGCGCTGTCAGAGGTGGTCATGTGGAAATTGTTCGAGCACTCCTTCAAAAATATGCTGATATAGACATTAGAGGACAGGTGTGTGTGATTACAGGGCTGTTGTTATCTTAGTATAATTGTTTGTATATGTTGGCTGATCATAATGTCATTCTTCCAGTTTTCCTATGGGGACAAACATATAAATCCTAGTACGTTTAATGGATGCCTGTATTAGTAAGTTTCACTGCCATTATTATGAAATTTCTGTATTAATGTCAAGTTAGATTTAGATGGAAGTAAAGCATAAAGAAGTTCATGTTTTTCAAATACACCTCCCTTCCTCATGTCTAAATACATTCAATTCTGACATGAGTAGTTTATGATACCAAGGCAGTTGGTGGCACTTTGAGTGTATGGGACTTATTTTCTTTAGTATGTGCTTCCTCTGTTTTGTCTTCTTCATCCATGTGTTGTTCTTCTATTCCTGTTGTTTCATCTTTCTTCTCCTTTTCCCCCATTTGCTAGCCTTTCCCAGGACCACTTGGTAGTGCCTGTGGATTTTGCTTAAGGCAGTCATAGCTCACAGAGCTGTAAAGGTTGTTTATTTTAGGGAAAAGCTTCCCTGAAGTTGAGAATTTATCCAGTATGTCAAGAGCTTTAGATTAAAAAAAATCTGTACTGAACAGCCTGTTTTGTGGTTGGAGAGTCTGCATTTCTGCTCAGTTTTTTTCCTTGTATTTAGCTTGTATCCAAATCCACTTTTGAATCAAACTGATAAATATTATGCCAAATGCCATGAGGGTCTTAACATGGGTCCCTTGCCTGAAGAAACAGGTGTTTTAGTTAGGAAGGTTTTAGTTTGTTTTGTTTATATTTATTCTTATGTTTTTATGTAAACATAAAAAATGATGCCACTTTTGGTATAAGATAGTATATGATTGCCTAGTGAAAGGTTCAAATGTAAGAGTCTTGAGGTGGGGAAAGTGGGCATCAAGGAGAGCCTTTAAGGGAAGGTAGAATTTGAGCTAAGTTTAAAAGGTGGGTTAGATAGGGAGAGAAAAGGAAGGCTCGGTAGTTCAGGCAAGGATAGTGGAATAATGGGATGAGAAAATTTAGAAAGAAGGGAAAGTGAAAGACTGTATTCCTTAGTTGGTGAATAAATCAGGTTGTCAGCGGGATGGCGGGGAGGGTGGGATGGGAGATAGAGAAATAGAAAGGGATATAGTGCCAGAGAGGCCGGAAACTAGTGTACAGTGTTGAGAAGGGAACTGCATTGGGGAAATCTTGGTGTTGGAAAAGTAATGTGGCAGCGGCAGAGAGTCATTCACTGTCTTTTGGGATAAAATCATATTTTCACTAAAAGTTGGTGACTGGATCACCTATTTAGACTTTTACCGATCTCCTTTGCGTCTGTCAATTTTGTTTTCCTATGTTTTAGTCAGTTTTTTTGTTCTCTACCTCTGCATTCAAAGTCCACGTTTTTGGTTTTTCAACTAGATAGGATTTTAAAGGATCTGATGAAGATCAGTATATAGGTGCAGTGTAGAGATTAAGAAAGCTAAACATGGTAAAAAAACAATTCACCATATGTTTGTGTAGTACACTCTTATGCATTATCTTTTGAAAAGATTGGGCAGATGAAAAGCCAAAAGCCAAAAGTCAGAATATTTATGTGACTTATCACAGGATACAGAGCTCAGGTACTGATGACTTCCAACACAGTGCAGGGTCTTGAAACCTGTTCACTTTCCAAAAGTATAGTTTCCCTTATCAACTATGTGGGGTTGCTGCTTTCTCAGTCAAGAAATATTAAGTTTTCTTAGGCTTTTTTCATAAAGAATTTCTCACAAGTAAATGCAAGACAGAATAAGGATTAATGTTATTTTCCACCATGCTGCTTCTTGGTAAGATATAGTAATGCTTTAATAGAAATGTTAATAATGTTTTATATTTACAAATAGAAGTTTTTAATATTATATCTTATATGAAGTGGTTGTTGATTTTTTTATTATGCAGGACAATAAAACTGCTTTGTATTGGGCTGTTGAGAAAGGAAATGCAACAATGGTGAGAGATATCTTACAGTGCAACCCTGACACTGAAATATGCACAAAGGTATAAATGACATTTCTATTCTCTTAGCAATACCTAGTGCTGAATGTTAGTACTGCTTATTTTTTTTCAATTTTTTACAGTTGTTTGATATTAGAATTATACTGATTTAACTGGAAATGTTCTGTATTAAATCGAGGAGTAAGTTTATATCCTTTCAGGAGTTGTGTATTCACAGCAAAATGCAGTGTGTAATTTATTTTAATTATTATTTAATTTATTTTAATCAGAAAGTACAGTATCAGCTCTTCATAAATTGTGGACAGATCATTTCCCCAGAATTATTTTATGCTCCTGTTGTTTGGAATGCAGAACACATTTCCTTTTAAAAGATCATTGTGTGTGGTTATTGGTTCCCCAAACCAACCACTTTTAGTCTATTTTACTCAAATCATGTGGAAAGTATAAAACTGTATAAGACTTGAGTGATTATGTTTGGCTTTACATGTAATAGTTGTCCATGGGGAAAAAATATATTTGGAGTTCTGGATTGAAATGGCAGGAATGAATAAAGCAAACTTACGGAATCACCCGTAAGACAATCCTATTTCATCCATTAGAGATTTGGAGCAGCATCTTCTAAACCAGTGATGGTACCCTCAGTGCCCTGGGGCAGAGCTTTTCCTGGGATACCTTCTGCTTTGCAGGTGGTGGCTCCTTGGAATCTTGTTTCTTTTAGACCTTTGTGTAAGCTACTGTGACCACATGTGGCTTCTGACCAGATTTTGCTTTTTCCTAATTCAATGCTGAACTGTGGTCTCTTCTTATTTCTATTAATTTGATTTTGAAAGCAATTGTAAACTCCTTTGAGGTATTCCAAAGGCATACTGCGTGTATCAGATTGTTTCCCTCTTATACACAGGTCCTTAGATGCACAGAGGCGCTGGTAAAAACATCTGACAAATCTAGACGCTGGCTTGCTTGGACATTGACAGGCTAGGTGGTGGGTTGCTTGGGTGAGGTGGTCAGAATGGGAAGCAGCCTCTGGAGGAGGTGCCCCAGGTGTCAGCGGTGGGCCTGGGGAAAGACAGTTAGTGGTGAGGGGCAGAAGCGGCTGATAAGTAGTGGGGCACATCTCTTGCTCTGCTGAGTGATATAAAAGTATTTTGATACAATTGATTGGTTGTGAAAGGAAAAGCACTTGTTAGTTTTTCCAACTATGTTTTCTTGAGAACATTTTCAATATAGACTGGTCAGATATTTGAATTCTTGACACGTGCGTTTGTGTGACTTTAAAGATTTAGGAGTAAAGGTGTTAATCTGGCAAACTTTCTTATCTGTGCCCACAGGATGGTGAAACACCTCTTATAAAGGCTACCAAGATGAGAAATATAGAAGTAGTAGAGCTGCTGCTGGATAAAGGAGCGAAAGTATCTGCCGTAGATAAGGTAAAAACATCCGTGTAGACAGCAGTTTTTTTTGAGGGCTATAGGTAGACTGACTGTATATCCGGTGGGTTTAATGGGGGTCTGATTTTATTTTGTGGAGGGAGAGATTACTTGCTGGGGCTATTTGTGTGGGATTTGGATGCTGTGAGATCTTCTTGGCTGTTCTGAGAGCATGCTGAGGAGTGGGCGGGCTCGGTATGCAGCAAAGCAGCTGCTTCAGAGGTTCCCTCTATGGCTCAGATCAGTTATGGCAAGCTGCATTGACCACCATGCAAGGAGGATGTCATCAGGTGTGGAGCTTGTTCAGAGAAACAGGAGGAAAGAATCCAAAAGGGGCTGGAGAAGATAGACTCTCAAAGGAGGCTGGCATTCATGTTCATCAGCAGGAGAGATGTTCTGCCATGTGTCCTTGCCTTAATCCTTTTAGAGGAATGTTCATATTTTCCATAATAAATTTAATTCTAAATTGCTTAGTACTCCATATAGAATTGATTTCCTGGTTTTAGTTTGTCTACATTTTAAGCAGGTTTCTTTCTCTACTTCAAATTGATTTCCTCACAGAAAAGAAGTGAATTGATTTATGTATGAACTAAGAAATGTAAATTTTTCCCTCTGAATATATAATATGATTTGGGCTCTCCTAATCCATAGTAGATTGAAGTTTATCTTTTTATTATTCATGAGGCAATTAAAAAACACAGAATTTATATATATTTGCCTTTTATTTTATCAAGAAACATTATTAAAAAAACACAAAAAAGCCTCCTATCTATTATTACTATATTAATGTATTTATATATGGTATATATATTAATGTATATTAATACCATATTAATATAAAGGAAAGAAAATATAAAGAAAATTTTTAATCTTAAAAGTTAGGGCATAGGGGGCTTCCCTGGTGGCGCAGTGGTTGGGAGTCCGCCTGCCGATGCAGGGGACGTGGGTTCGCGCCCCGGTCCGGGAAGATCCCACATGCCGTGGAGCGGCTGGGCCCGTGAGCCATGGCCGCTGAGCCTGCGCGTCCGGAGCCTGTGCTCCACAAAGAGAGAGGCCACAACAGTGAGAGGCCCATGTACAGCAAAAAAAAAAAAAAAAAAAAAAAAAAAAAAAAAAAAAAAAAAAAAAAAAAAAAAAAAAAAAAAAAAAAAAAAAAAAAAAAAAAAAAAAAAAAAAAAAATTTAGGGCATAAAGTCAAAGAGAAGTTGTTGAAATTGAATATACTTAACTTTCTAGAAAACTTCTGTATTGCCTGTTTTTCTCATTCTGCTGTTGACTACTTCCTGGCACTGGTCCCCTAATTTGCAAAAGGGAACCACTGGACTACATGCCCTTTAAGGTTCCCTGTCTCGGACCCTGTTGTGTGTGCTTTGTCTTGAGTCAGCACATACTTGCTGAGAAGCACACATGATACCTGGAATGTTCTTGGAGTGAATGTGCATTCGTTCACACGTACTTACAAAGGATGGATAAGGTGCTGTCCTGCTCGAATTTGGAATACAAACTTGTAAAAAGTCTTGAACCTGGCTCTTCATAAAGGATTACGTAAAAAAAAATTAAGAATAAAGATTAATGTTATTTTTACCTGGCCCATCACCAATCTCTGTTTATCTTCAGCATAAACAGGCAGGGTGTGTTGATGTCTTTTCTGCATTTTCAGAAATTTTGTGTCTGGCTGAAATGCCACTGATAGTATTTCTTCCTTCTCACATGTTTGGGGACAAGAAATGGAGTTCAGGTGGAGAAATAAGATGATGAAATTCAGTTTACATGTGTTTAGTTTGAAGGCTAAGACGTTCAGGAGGCTGTGACCGATAGGCTTGAATTTGGGCAAGAAATCAAGGCTGGTGATAGAAATTTCACAGTTAGTTACCAAGAGATGAGAGCTGCATGGGAGTGACTAAGATCATCAGTTTGGAAGAAAGATGGAAGCTGAGGTCAGACTTTCCTTACAGCGTGTGTCACATTCTAGTTTGTTTTACGATTGTGCGTGTTTATTCAGTCTCCTCCTCTTACATTGTAACTTAGTTAAGGACTGTTTTGTCTGTCATCTCCATATCCCCCAAAGTATCCGGCTCAGTGCCTTACTATATAGTGAGCTCAATACGTAGCTTTTGTGCCATAGTTAGGATGTAGGAAGGGAATCTAGAAAAGGAAGAAGTAGACCTGAGGCAGAAGAGGAGATTCAAAATCACGATAAGCTTGTGCTATAGAAGCCACAGGAAATGAGTGGGTGAGAACTGAGAATTTCATTTGTTAACTTGTGGGTCATTGTCTTTAAGAGAGATGTTTGTGAAGTAAAAAGTGGAGAACACCTTGCGGACTGAATTTTTTTTTTTTTTTTTACGTATTAGTTTTCTTTCCTTAGTGTTGGATGCGAATGCTAATATGGAGATTCTAATAAAGGAAGAAGGCAGGTCGATGTTAGGGAGCTGTGAAAGCTGAGGAGAACGGAAGAAGTTGTAGTAGCCAGAGAAGGATGGATTCAACATAGCGGACTCCGAGGAAGAGAATTGTAGGGGACTAACATAATGGTGACAAAGGGCATGGGGAAGGACGAGGTCACTCATGCTAGTGGAATATCAGCATGGATTGGGAAGCTTTCTAGACAAATGGAGACCACGTTGTGAAATAGAATAGAAATTAGTTGAGGAAGGTGGTTGAAGTCTGTGGACAGTAAGTATCTGGATGATAGATGGTTACTAACCTGTGATGGAGGTGGATCCAGGGCCTGGGAGGAGCCACAAGGAAAAAGCCTGTTGCTTGTCCTCTTTCGTTCTGGAAGGCTGTGGGAGAAATAATACCTGAGAAAAGCTAGGGAAGGAACTAGAGAAAGAAATTGTGGGGAGGATACAGAGATAAAAATTCATATTATTTATACATTCTATATGAAAAATATGAAAAGTTCAGATTTTCTGTTATTTTATAGAAACATGAAAATTGTTACTCTGTATATACTATATGTAAGAAATGTGAAAGTTCAAGTTTCCTGCCACTATTTTACAGAAAGGAGACACTCCTTTGCATATTGCTATTCGTGGGAGGAGTCGGAAACTGGCAGAACTTCTTTTAAGAAATCCCAAAGATGGACGGTTACTTTATAGGCCCAACAAAGCAGGCGAGACTCCCTACAACATTGACTGTAGCCATCAGAAAAGTATTTTAACTCAAATATTTGGAGCAAGTAAGTATTGGGTTTTGTACCTAACTGGGCTTTTAAGAAATGAATGTCTATGAAAAAATTAAGAGACTTCCAGCAGTTTTGCATTTCTCACTTAACTGAAGATTATAAAAGTTAAGAAAGTTATTACTTTACTGTAGAAAAATAACTTTTCCCTGTCTAAAGCTGTTTTGCATTATGTTGTAGCATTCACATTAAGTACATTCAGAGTCAACAATCAGCTTTTAAGACTTCTAGAAATCTGGCCTACTTTTCTAAAACTCTTCCCCCTGTTATTCTCTCAGGTATTCTTTGTGCTTTTATCAAAATGCACTCTGTTTTCAGAGTGTGGCTCTCTACCTTTGCTTGTGCTGTGTCCTCTCCATCCCCATGAATGTTCTTGTTAAAATCATCTCTCTCCAAGGCTGGAGTCAGTTGTCTCATTCTCAGTGACGTTTTAACTGATCTGCCTAACCAGATACAATTTTTGCCTCATTTGAATACTTAAGCATTTGTGTTTATATTTCCTTTTTTAATACTTATTACATATGACCTTTTATTTTGTTTCTTTTAAAATTTTCTCCCTTATTTCTTGTAGAATTTTCTTCCTTCCAGATTCCAAGTTATTCAGGGCAGGGATTCTTTCTTCTTATCTTGTATCCTCCATAACATCTAGCACATAATGCCTTGAATGCTGTACTAAAATAGTTTTCGCTTGTAAAGGATGCACATGAGAATGTAATCATTCACGTGCGGTCTTTTGAAATACGGAACAGTTTTCTGCTAGAGTTAAAAAAGAGATGTTAGTCCCAGAAACCAACAGGAGATAGTAGAATCCTGCCACCTTCCAGTTTAGCTGTTTACTTACATAAGCAAGTATGATTCTGTTCAACATTATGAGTTGTATTTTAAAATATTTTTTTCTCTTGATAATAATGCACACATTAAATTTTAAGGATTAAAACACGAATACAGTAGAAAGTGCAAATTTCCCATTGTCCTTTATCTCCTAATTTGTAATTGTTTGAATGACTTGCCAAGATTTTCTTTATATTTCTAAAAATGTTTTATACTATGTATATAGCCTTTAAAAACTTGAGATACCATAATATAAAAGTTTTAAATAATGAACTATACCATATTTTATTTGTTGCATAATCTTTCATTCTAAGTTCTAAGTTCTTTATTGATGAATATTTGGTTTGTTTTGCTGTTAAAAGCTAGTGCTGAAGTGAACATCTTTTCTGTAGGTATATCCGTTAACTCTTATTTTTAGGATTATTTTCTTGGAATAAACTCCCAGAAGTAGAATTGGCAAGTCAGTGGATGTTCAGTTTTGATAGACTTTCCAAAATGGTTGTAACAGTTTCTCCTTCCTTAGACCATGTATGATAGATAGTGCAGTTTCCTGCAACCTTGCTAAAACTGGATATTTCCGGCTTCCTTAAGCTTTCTAATCAGATCAATAAGAAAAAATTTCATTTTAATTTGCATTGTAAAATTATTAGTGAGATTGAGATCTTTTAATATGTTCATAGGCTATTTGCATTTTTGCTATTTTCCTCTTTGTATCCTTTGCTGTCTTTTTTCTTGAGTTTTTAAAATTATTTAAAAATTGATTTTTGTGTCTTTAAGGATACTGATCCTGGATCCAGCCTATATATTGTATCTCTCTCCCGTGCTTATTCTTTGTTTATGGTGATGGGGTTTTTTAATTCCCCATCCAAAAGTTATATAAATTTGTAGTTTACTTGTTGGTCTTTTCCTGCAGTTCTGGCTTTAGTATTATATTGAGAAAGAAAGGCCTTTTCCGCACAAAGATTTTTATAGTTTTTTCTCTTATATTTTCTTCTAGTGCTTTTATAGTTTTACTCTTTACATTTAATTTTTTAATGTTTCAGAAACTTATTTTTGTTAAAGTATGAGATGCAGAGTTTTAATTTTATTTAAAAAAATGGATGGCTTACTTCTCCCAATACCACTTACTAATTCATCCTTTCCCCACTGATTTGAAATGCCACATGTTAATATCCTGTGTGAGTTCTGTGATGTTGTAATTATTATAGCTTCAGAATGTATTTTGATTCTTCTCCAAAGACAGCTACTTTTTGGTAGTCTTTAAATTATTTTTCATAGCTATTTTTACATGTTCTTCTTGCTTTTCAGCTTTTCAAAATACTCTCATGGAATATTATTATTGGAATTGCCTGAAAGTGGTAGATTAATTTGGGGGAGAATTGCTCTTTTTAAGTCATTGAATCTTTCTGTCTGGAACCATAGAATGTCTCTTTTTCTCTGGTTATCTATTATGATTTTCACTAACATAGCCTTCTTTATATAGGTATTATACATATAAAAATGATTCCGAAGGACTAGTTACTGTTTTAATCATTTTATCGATTCTAAAATGTACTTTACTCCACATTTTAGCATCCCTGAAGTTGGAGTATGTCTTATAATTGATGGGTAAGAAAGCATCGTGTCATAATTTGGCCGCACTTTTTCTTTCTTAGTCGTACATAATAATGATGCATCTTATAATTAGTAGGTATCTTAAGTTCTATGAAATGTATTAATTTAAGCAACTCTGAAGCTATTTTTACACAGGTCTAACCATTTAAAATAAGTGTTTTTCCTCAATTAAGTAAACAATTAATAAATGAAAATTGATGCTCCTTTTTAATAGTAATGTCTTTAATGCAAGGATATGATGTGTTTATAATTACAGGGCACTTGTCTCCTACGGAAACAGATGGTGACATGCTTGGTTATGATTTGTATAGCAGTGCCCTGGCAGATATTCTCAGTGAACCTACCATGCAGCCGCCCATTTGTGTGGGGCTGTATGCACAGTGGGGAAGTGGGAAATCCTTCTTGCTCAAGAAACTAGAAGGTATGTTTGTAAAAAGTCTGCATATATAACAAAGTTTTCTCTTGTGTATTTTTGTTTTTTTAAGTAAAGAAGAATAGAGTTTTTATTTTTAAACATCTTTATTGGAGTATAATTACTTTACAATGGTGTGTTAGTCTCTACTTTGTAACAAAGTGAATCAGTTATACATATGTTATACATATACATATCAGTTATACATATACATATCTCTTCCCTCTTGCGTCTCCCTCCCTCCCACCGTCCCTATCCCACCCCTCTAGGTGGTCACAAAGCACCGAGCTGATCTCCCTGTGCTATGCGGCTGCTTCCTGCTAGCTATCTGTTTTACGTTTGGTAGTGTATATATGTCCATGCCACTCTCTCACTTTGTCACAGCTTACCCTTACCTCTCCCCATATCCTCAAGTCCATTCTCTAGTAGGTCTGTGTCTTTATTCCCGTCTTGCCCCTAGGTTCTTCATGACCTTTTTTTTTTTTTCTTTCTTAGATTCCATATATATATGTTAGCACATGGTATTTGTTTTTCTCTTTCTGACTTAACTTCACTTTGTATGACAGAGTCTAGGTCCATCCACCTCACTACAAATAACTCAATTTCATTTCTATGGCTGAGTAATATTCCATTGTATATATGTGCCACATCTTCTTTATCCATTCATCTGTTGATGGACACTTAGGTTGCTTCCATGTCCTGGCTATTGTAAACAGAGCTGCAGTGAACATTTTGGTACATGACTCTTTTTGAATTATGGTTTTCTCAGGGTATATGCGCAGTAGTGGGATTGCTGGGTCATATGGTAGGATAGAGTTTTATGTATGGGTATGTGGTTGATCCTCTACACCGTTATTTGAGTTCTCTTTCTAAAACAGAGATCCAGCTGTGTTATAGCATACTTAAAACCCCTTCGTAGCACATTCCCTGCGAGTGTTGTTTATAACCGTCCTACCCAGGCCTTTCACAGACTGTCAGTTTGCGTGAGCACCCCTGCCAGGACTGCCCCCTGTGTGTGCTCAGGGCTGTAGGCGTAGGGGCTCTCTGTGCCCTCGCGAGCCCACTATACCCTTCCTGAGTGGCCTCCTCTACTAGGAGCTTCCTGGACAGGTCCTCCACCTCCCCGCTAAGCCCCACTCCTTTTGTTTGGCAAAATCTCACTTGTTCTTCAAGGACAGGTGTCAGTATTGCCTGTAAAATTCTTGCTAAGTTTTGTAGTAAGAATGCCTTGTTCAGGGCTCATCTGGACTGAACACACACCTTTAGGAGCAGTGATCCTCAAATGTAATTGGAGGGAGAAGGGGTGAGGAGGAGCGGGGAGGAATGGTGGTGCTATAGCTAGGTATAATAGTTTGAAGACACATAACAGAGTAATAGTTTTTAGTTTTATATCTGGAAACAGTACCTTGTTGATTGTGTGATACAAACCACAGGAATAAATATCAACAGAATCTTGACAGATGGGAATATATGAAAGAGGATTTTGTGCATTTTCAGCAG